GGAAAATATTAAAGTCAAATGAAAATGAAAGCACACCACACCAAAACTTACGGATGCAGTGAAGGCAGTGCTCAAAGAGAAGTTTATAGTGTTAAATGACATTAAAAAAGGTGACAGATCCCCAAACGGGGAACCCGGCTCCGTGGTGGGGAACTCCTCAAACAAGCATGGGGGCTCAGAAGCTGAATCATAAAATATATAACTGTCCTTTATAGGTTACAGGTAAAATCTGCAGGAGCAGGAGGGAGATGAGATCTCCATTTTTTTCACTTTTTTTTTCTTACAAATTCATTTTAGATGCAACTGACGGCAAACCAACTCAAATTAGCTTAATAAAAGGATGCTGCCACTGCTCCATCTGTCTTCGTATTGATTAAGATGTTCTCTGACCTAGTAAAAGTATGAACACACAATTTTCCATTTTATCATTAAAGCCCAGCTCAAATTCTATTTATTTCATTATATCTTCGAAATGAAATACATTTCCACCCAGTCCCTCTTCAGAATTAACTAGATGCCTATCTCAGTTCTCTTCCATTTACCATTTATATCTCAATTCCTCTCCTATCTAGAGTAGTAAAAAAACAAATAGATAATAAATGTTGTATTTAACTGAAAAAGACAAAAAGGAATTTGATTCATGTAAGCCAGAGGTTAACAAACTACAGTCCAAATCTGGCACACAGTCTGTTTTTGTATGACCCTTGAGCTAAGAATGGTTCTTATATTTAAATATATACATAATTTAAAAGTTTAATAAAAAAAAAAACCACAAAGAATAAGTGACACAGACAGCATGTGGCCCTCAAAGCCTAAAATATTTAGTATCTGGCCCTTTACAGAAAATATTTGTTAAGCAAAGTCGGCTAAAGGCTGTATAGTTGGGACTATTAACTGTCCCCCTGTCTCCATCCTCACCTTCCTCCTTTTAGTAAAAGAACCATCACTGAATGCTTGCAGGGCATGTGGAGAGTCTACGTTTTTCTGCCTCCTTTGCAGCTAGTTGTGGCCAGTTGACTAAATGTGAACAGAAGTGGCATGAGCATCTTCCATATCATATCCTTTGAAAGGAAGTTGGTTGATCTCACTATCTCTGTTCCCCTTCCCTGAACCTGGGACAGGACAAAGTGCATTCATTATATAGTAGTGGCAACAAGACAGAAAGAACCTGGGCCCCTGGACAACCCCATGGGGCAGAGCCACCTGCCTACTTTGGATCATCTTCCTACTTCTGATGGAGAGAAATAAACTTTTCTCTTGTGTTGGTCACTGTTTTAGAGGTCTGTTTGTTATAGCATTTTAGCCTGACCCTAACTGATAGAGGTCATCTAGTGCTGCTATAACAGAAATATCACAAGTGGATGGCTTTAACAAAGAGAAATTTATTTTCTCACAGTCAAGTAGGCTAAAAGTCCAAATTCAGGGAGTCAGCTCCAGGGGAAGGCTTTCTCTCTCTGTCAGCCTTCTCATCCGTGTTCCCCCGGACTAGGAGCTTCTCTTCACAGGGACCCTGGGTCCAAAGGACACGCTCTGCTTCCTGTACTGCTTTCTTGATGGTATGAGCTCCCTGTCTCTGTTCACTTCTCTCTTTTATATCTCAAGAGATTGCCTCAGGACACAATCCAATCTTGTAGATTGAGTCCTGCCTTACTAACACAACTGCTGCCCATTCTCCCTCATTAACATCATAGAGGCAGGATTTACAACATATATAAGAAAATCACACAATACCGGGAATTATGGCTCAGCCAAATTGATACACACATTTTTGGGGGGACATAATTCAATCCATGACAGCTGGCCTAACATAGCTGAATCAAAGTTTCTAGCAACCTCTGGGTCCTCTCTCCTTTGTTCTCTTTCTTCTTTGTGTGCCAGCTACATTCTTGTTTATTGCTGAAGGGCTTTCTCCATGTAGTGGGAACATGGCTCCAGCCTCACATCCCTAAAAGCTTAACCATCTGAGAGGGAAAAGAACCTGTCCTGGTAAGCTCCAATTCAAAGATCTCAGGGAAGGAGTCTGATGGGACTAGCTTACTCACATGCTCCTAGAGCAGTGGTTCTCAACCAGGGCAATTCCCCTCCCCTCCCAGGGACATGTGGCAAAGGCTAGAGACATTCTTGGTTGTCACGACTTGGGGCTGGTGCTATTGGCATCTAGTGAGTAGAGGCAGGGATGCTGCTAAACATCCTACAATGACAAAGATAGCCCCCAAAAGCCCACTACAACAAAGAATTATCTAGCCCAAAATATCAATAATGCTGAGGTTGAGAAACCATGTTTTGGACCAATTCTATCAACTCTTTGAAGTTATACAGAATGTGACCACTTGTCATCACCCTGGTCTAAGTCACCATCGGCTCTTGCCTGGATGACTGCAATAACCTAACTGTTCCCTTTGATTCCACCCTGCCCTTGAAGTCCTTTCTACACAGCGGTCAGAGTGGTCCTGTTCAAACCTAGCTAGAGCATGTCACTCCTCTGTTCAAACCGCTCCAGTGCATTTTTTATTTCACTCAGAGAAAAAGCCAAAGTCTTCAGTCACCTACAAGGCCCTGCATGATCTGGGCTCCGTTTCCTCTCTGCCTCACATCCTCTCTCTCTTTTCTATTCCCGGAATACGCCGAGCATGCAACCTGCCTCAGGGACTTTGCACTGGCTGTTCCCTCTGCCCAAGCACTCCTCTCACAAATATTCATAGGGCTTGCTTCCTCAAGTCTTTCAGGTTTCTGCTCAAATATCTCCTTATTGTGAAGTCTTCCCTGATACCTTATATAAAATTGCACACACATCCCCATCTCCTTTACATCCCTTTATTTTTCCCCCAGCAGTTACTGCCATCTGATTTACTACAGATTTATTATCTGTCACCTATCACCCACTAAAACATAAGTAGCCTCCAGGGACTTGGTCTTTTTGTTCATTGCTATATCCTCAGGCCTACAATAGTGCCTGGCACATAGTATGTGCTCAAGAAATGTTTGCTGACCAAAGCTAAGAAGTTTCCTGAATACAGTCAAACACTTTGAGGTACAGAGTAGCAGGGATAGGGGTCTGGGGACCATGTTTTCAGTGGACATCTAGGTCAACTGGCATAACAAAGTTTATTAAGAAAATGTTCTGCATCTTACTTTGGTGAGTGGCGTCTGGGGTCTTAAAAGCTTGCAAGCGGCCATCTAAGATGCATCAATTGGTCCCAACCACCTGCAGTAAAGGAGAATGAAGAACATCAAAGACACAAGGAAAGTAGTAGCTCAAGAGACAGAAAGGGCCACATAAACCAGAGACTCCTGAGACCAGAAGAAATAGATGGTGCCCGGCTACCACCGATGACCGCCCTGACAGGGAACACAACAGAGAGTCCCTGATGGAGCAGGAGAAAGGTGGGGTGCAGAACTCAAATTCTAGTAAGAAGACCAGACTCAATGATCTGAGACTGGAGGAACCCTGGAAAGCATGGCCCCGGGATTCTCTATCAGCCCGAAACTAAAATAATTTCCGAGGCCAACTCTTCAGGCAGGGATCGGACTGGACTGTGGGACATACAGTGATACTCGTGAGGAATGTGCCTCTTAGCTCAAGTAGATACAAGAGACTAAACAGGCAGCTTCTGTCCGGAGGTGAGATGGGAAGGCAGAGAGGGTTAGGAGCTACTTGAATGGACACGGGGAAATCAGGGGTGGAAAGGAGGAGTGTGCTGTCACAGTACGCGGACAGCAATTAGAGTCACATAACAATGTATGTATAAATTTTTGTATGAGAAAAAATAAAAAAAGTGCTATTCAGAAAAATAATCAGCAACAATAAAAATTGCATCTCAAAAAAAAAAAAAAGAAAGAAATGTTTGTTGAATGAATGAATCGCTCTGGCTATGAGGAACTGTGCTTGACAGCCAGCTCTAGAAGAATCACATGGTTAGAATGGGGGGTGGAGCGGATGTGCCAAAGAAATTGGGGATTGTTATCATAAACAGGGCTGCTGGAAGAATCATCAAGAGCTGGGACCCACCCAGTCCTGTGTGTGCACATCACAATGACCTTACATTTTTACATACAAAACAAAACAAAACCCTTGCCATTGAGTCAATTCCGACTCATAGCGACCCTATAGGACAGAGTAGAACTGCCCCATAGGGTTTCCAAGGAGCAGCTGTTGCATTCGAACTGCCGACCTTTTGGTTAGCAGCCAAACGCTCATTATTCCTTTATTCCTCACAACACCCCCCCCCCGTGAGGTAGACATTATTATTCCCATTTTACAGTTGAAGAAACTAAGGCACAGAGAGGATAGGTAGGATATGAAGTCCACACAGGCATTTAGGAAAAAGGTCCAGGACTCATGTCTTTGGACGTGTTCCTTTCATCCCCATCCTACCATGTTCACAGCAGCTCCTGCCCCTGCTTTTCGACCCTCTTCCCCAGGGGCTCCCACCTCGTCAACCTGGTGAGAGAAGCCAACCCCAGTGTCTCTTCCCTGCTCCATCTATTCCAGGGAGAGCTGTGCCAGCCAGTCCTTGCCTGCCTGTCTGCCTGCCTGCCTGCCTGCCAGGGAGGTTAACAAGGAGTGTTTGTAGCAGCTGCTGTCTCCAAGGAGAGGAGAGGAAAGCAGAGTAGAGAGACAGACACCCACACCAGGCTCTGCAGCCAGTGGGAGTGGGCGGTAGCCCACTTGACCTGTCCAGCCCTGGGAGGAGAGAGGAATGTCCTCACCTCCATCACCTCCATCGTCCTGGGAGGTGGTGAACTCTCTGTGGACTGGGCAGCTAGACAGTGAGGTCGCAGCAGGGCCAGCAGGCAGAGGAAGTTCTGGCAGGCACTGAGGAATGTGGGGAGTTGGGGGCTGGGCCTGGCCTGGCTGCTGAAGCTAGAGGCAAAGAGCAGAGCCGGAAGTCCTGGGCTTGAGACTGTAGAAGGGGGCCAAGACCCAGCAGGTGGCAAGAGTGAAGATCAGCAGTGCGAGAAAGGAGGTGTCCCCCTCTTTCCTTGCTGACAGTGGAGCCATGTTCCAGCCCAGGGGGCTCGGGAGGAGGCCTAGGGCCCTGGGGCCTCTTCTGCACAGCATCCGGCCCTTTAAGTCCAGTGAGCAGTACCTGGAGGCCATGAAGGAGGACCTGGCTGAGTGGCTGCGCGATCTCTATGGACTGGACATAGACGGGGCCAACTTCTTGCAGGTGCTGGAGACAGGCCTGGTGCTGTGCCAGCATGCCAACACTATCACTGAAGCCGCCCTGGCCTTCCTGGCTGAGGCACCTGCCCAAGCCCAAAGGATTCCCATGCCCCGGACTGGAGTTTCCTGCAATGGGGCCGCCCAGCCGGGCACCTTCCAGGCACGGGACAATGTCTCCAACTTCATCCAGTGGTGTCGCAAGGAGATGGGCATCCAAGGTAACCACCCTAGACGCCTCCCTTCTCCTCCCCGGGGCCTTACCTTGTGGGGACATCCTGGATCCTCCTTCCAGATCCTCCTTGGCCCAGCTCATCCCTTTTCATGCCTCAATTTCCCCATCTCATAGTAAATTCTCAATAAATAAATGTGCTGATTAATTAATTCATTAAAAAAAAACATGTTGAGCACCTCCTCTGTGCTAGAGCCCTGGTGGCATAGTGGTTGAGAACTATGGCTGCTAATCAAAAGGTCGGCAGTTCGAATCCACCAGCCGCTCCTTGGAAACCCTATGGGGCAGTTCTACTCTGTCCTATAGGGTCACTATGAGTTGGAATCAACTCGACGGCAATGGGTTTGGTTTTTGTTTTTTTTCCCTCGTGCTGAGCATCCTGCTGGGCATTAAGGACCCAGAGGAATGAGACCCAGTAACCAAGGAGTTCATGGTCTAGGAAGAGAGATAGGTGTGTAGGTCTGTAAATCACAGCCAGATGTGATAAGTGCTCATGTATGGGCTGGGGAGCGAGAGGAGGAAACAGTTACCTGATGAGGTGCGAGTGGAGGCTGAGAAAGGCTGCGCAGAGGAGGGAGATTTGAAGGGGCTTGAAGAATAAGTTTGGGGGAAAGGAAATTCTAGGTAGGGGGACAGCAGGGGCAAAGGCACAGAAAAGGTTTAGTGTTTGTATGCCTGAGATAAGTTGGGCAGGACATTGTGAGGGCCTGGGGCTGGGGTGGGGTGGGGTGGGGAAAGGACAAAGGAGGAGGCAGGTGATGTGTTGGAGAGGGGCCCAGTTGTGCTGGCACTTGTAGGGCTCAGGGGAGGGACATGTCAGGATCCTTCATCTCCTTGGCCTCATATCCAGCAGTGGGATGAGGCCCCATGTTTCAGTGCAGTGGGGAGGGGAAGGGCCTAGGCTGTTAGCTGGTGGTGGGGCAGTGAGGGCTAGGTTTGTTGTTTTTAGCTCCTGTCGAGTGGGCCCCTGACACATGGGGACCCCACACACAACAGGACAGAACACTGCCTGGTCCTGTACCATCTCCATGATCGACTGTGGATTGGACCATTGTGATGCACAGGATCCTCACTGGCTGATTTTTGGAAGTCGATCCCCAGGCCTTTGCACTGACAGACAGGCGGTGGCTGTATCTGAGGTGCGCTAGCTGGGAGTTGAGCCTAGGTCTCACACGTGGAAGGCAAGAATTCCACCACTGAGTCATCAGTCTCTTGAGGAGCAGGTTTAGAGGGTTAATAAAAGCTAACATTTTATTGAGTGCTCACCACGTACCAGGCACTGTTCTGCAGGTGCTTAACAACTATTAGCTCGTCTAATCCTCACAACCACCCCATGAGGACTACATCCCCATTTTATAGGAGAGGAAACTGACTCGCAGACTGAGCCACACAGCTAGTAGGTAGTAGGGAGATTCAGGACTCTGACCCCGGCAGTCGGGCTCCAGGGCCTACCTGGGGGTTGAGTTTGAGATGCCTAGTGGATATTGGAGGTGAGTGGCATGGGTGGGAAGTATAATAAAGTTCTTCCTGCTCCTTGACCCACCCTGGCAAGCTAGGTGAGGAGGGCAAGATGGAGTTAACCCTTCCCTTGCCACGGGCCCACAGCCAGCCTCTAGGTTCCTTTGCTTTGCCTGTGTCACCTCTCCAACTCCTACCTCTTCGGTTACATGGGCCATCTTGATGGCACCCAGTGTCTAGGCAATGCTGCCGGGACCCCTCCTGGAGGCTGGCTTGGCCCTAAGATCCTGAGACCAAACCACCCTCAAGCCTGCCATCCCCATCCCAGGAGGCCCCCAGGGCGTTCCCACCCTCTGGCCTCGGTCCCTATGACTTGCAGAGTCACTGACTGTCCGAGCCCGCTCTGAGCCGCTAGCGTACCTCCACCCTATTCCCCGGAGGCCAGCAGGGGGCTCACGCTGCCTCCTCCCCCGCCCCCCAGAGGTGCTGATGTTCGAAACTGAGGATTTGGTGCTGCGCAAGAACGTGAAGAACGTGGTACTGTGCTTGCTGGAGCTGGGCCGCCGGGCCTGGCGCTTTGGCGTCGCGGCGCCTACCTTGGTGCAGCTGGAGGAGGAGATCGACGAGGAGCTGAGGCGGGAGCTGGCGCTACCCCCGCCCGCCCCGCCGCCGCCGCCCGCGCCGCCCGCCCGCCGGGCCTGCCACTTCCGCGACTTGGACCAGATGGTGAGCGGCTCGGGACACGCCCTCCGAGCTTCCCCTGCATACCCCGGCTCCTCCCCGCTGCCCTTCTCTACCTCTTGGGACAAAGCCGCTTCTGAGTCGCCCCCTTCTTGAGCACAGCCCCCGGCCCTGACACGAATTCGCTGTGTGGCTTTGAGTAAGTCGTGTTCCACTCTGAGCCTCAACCCCAATCACAGGTAGTCGTGGCTATGCCACCTATTATGTTTTTATTACAAACACAGCACTCTGCACGTTTCTTATATAACCCACACCATAGCCTTGTGCACGGTTTGTAAAAACAGACGCTGGGGTCTTGGTTCAAGTCGTAGTTCCACGGCTTTGTAGCTGTGTGACTTTGGGCAAGTTATTTAACCTTTCTGTGCCTCAGTTTCCTCATCTGTAAAGTGAGGATAGTAACAGCACAAACCTTCTCTGGCTGCTGTATTAAATGAGCCAATGCATATAAGTGCTTAAATAAACCGTGTCTGGCATGGACAGGGCTTCATCTTACTGTGGTTTGACTACTACTACTTCGCTCTTACTGTGATTAACCCCATTTTCACCACCAAGAAAACCATCGCAGGGAGGTTTCTTAACCTGCCCAAGGCATATGACGTGGTAGAGACCGGACTCCGAGATCTTGTTCTGCCTGGGACATTAAACGTCTTCTCTTCCTCCCTCTTCTCAGTCCCCAGCCCTGACTTCAGCAGAAGCCTCAAGGGTGGGGGAGGGGCGCAGGCAGCTCCCCCCCCGCCATGGTGCTTGACCAGTGTTGGGAGGAACCTGGAGTCTGGGCAGAGGGGAGGCTGAGCCCGCTGCCTTCTCCCTGCAGGTGCAGAGTCTCCTGAGCCACTGCACATGCCCAGTTCAGTTCTCCATGGTCAAGGTGTCTGAGGGGAAGTACCGTGTGGGGGACTCTAACACCCTCATCTTCATCCGGGTAAGTCCTGGACTAGGGGTGGAAGGGCTCCCACGGTTATAGAATAGGGTTTCCTTCCACTTAACAGAATAGGGTTTCCTTCTACAGGGCCTTGCCCAAGCCTGGCGGTGAGGACAGGAAGTCACCCTTCACCCCAAGTTATCAGGCCCTGGGGCTCTCTTCTTTCAGGAGAAACTCCAGGAGGCAAGCCTATTTCCTCCTTCCATCAGGGCAGCCAGAACCACCACCTCTTCACCTCCCATCTGCCTCCACCTTAGCCTAACTGAGGGGATGACTCCAGGCACAAGAGGGGTATGGAGAAGGTACTTTCACTTTTCCATTCCCTCCACCCCACCCTGGCTTGATCAGAGCCCCAAGTTTGCGTTCAGCACACAGCCCCAGCCGCAAGATTCCCTAGCCTGCCCCTCACAGACCTGGTTTGGTACATCCCGCAGTGAGTAGGAGTACAGGTGTGCAATGTGCCTCCCACTACCCCGCCCCCAATATCCTCATAGGGACATCTGTACCCCGGGGTGTGGCTAGCAGCTCAGGGGCATGGCCAAGCCTTTCCTTTGAGCACAGGCCACACCTGGCACAGAGCCAGCTCCCTGGGTCCTCACCTAGTCCCTGGAGCAATGGTCCTATGAAGCAAGTAAGGCAAGGAACTGTGGCCCACCCCAGAGGAGAGTGGCTGGGACACTCTTGGGTTCTTTCACACACGTCACAGAGGCAAAGCCAGAGGTAATTAGGGCTCATTTCTGATAAAGCATATGCTGGTGCAAACCCCTTTACAAGAAAGGGAGAGAAGGGAGTGCTCTGGGAGCCGGTTACACAATGCCTGTGAGATCCTTGCTTAGTTGTAGGGCAACTTTCTGTTAGTCAGCCCCTCCTTTACCCCTGACAACACGTGTTACCTGATGCCAGATACGGAAATGAAGGCTGCAAAATGTGTGTGCCAAGCCACACCTGTGTACAAGGGTGCAATGGGCAGGTCAAAGGATGGGAGTATCCTTAGTGGGTGTGGAAGCCTGCAAGGTGGCCCATGAAGAGGGGAAGCCTTCGACCATGTCCTCAATCTCACCCTTGCCTCTTGCAGATCCTCCGGAACCACGTGATGGTGCGTGTGGGTGGTGGCTGGGACACGCTCGGCCACTACCTGGACAAACATGACCCCTGCCGATGCACGTCCCTCTGTGAGTCTCCTCCTTGTGGTCAGAAAGGGGTAACTGGAGGTCAGGAGGCTGGAAGCAGGGCGGGATGTAGGTCTGATCTCCAAGTTTCAAGGAGAAAGCTGCTCTTTGGTAGGACATTAGTGAACCTTAACCCTAGGAGATGTTGTTCCCAGACAGATGAAAAGGCGGGAAATGAGGGCAAGAAGTGTGTAGGGGATGGAGGCAGGAAGATTCTATGGAAGGTGCAGGTGTGGTGCCCTCTCCCCAGCCCTAGGTGGAGGAAAGCTGGGCAGTCATGGTGCAGTACCAATTATAGACACAAGGTGGCACCAAACACATGCATTTGGTCAGGGTGCGTTTCTGAAGAGCTGTAGTCTGGCTCTGGGGTCCACCATGGTGGCACCAAGCATGGCTTGGAGGGGTCTTCAGTTCTTCTATAGTCTCCATCAGCATCTCTTGCCACCCTAAAGAAGCTTGCAATATAGGCAAAAGTAGGAGACTTGCAATACAAATGCAGCTTTACAACAAGTTCCCCAGTCCAGTCCTCTATCAAATGACGTCCCCTAAGCCCCTCCCATAGGAAATTCTGGTGCTGCCACTGTAGGTCCCACTGTCTTTAATGTGGGAGGAAGGGTGTGGGATGTGGTGGGAGAGGACAATGGGTCATATCAGCAGGCTATTTAACCCTCCCTTCTCTCCTCTCTCTGGGGGACTGTGTTGGTAGCACACAAGACAGGCAGCTTCCTGAAGCCCCCAGCCCCACCAGTGCAGCATGAAGTGATGGTGCAGGACGGGCCCTCGCAGCCCCAGCCCACGATGACCATCAGCCGCTCCCAGAGCCCGCTGCCCCCTGTGGACTGGAAGACATATACCTCTTCAGGCCGAAAGCTGAGGCCCCCTACCTCCTCCTCCCCCAGCCCCCGCAGTGAACGGGGAGCAGGGATAGGGGTCCTCAGAGAGATGGCACCACCCCTGAGGTACAGGGGGGGATAGGGTGGGGCCTCTTAGGTACAGGGAGAGACAGGGTAGGGCCTCTTTCTTTTGGGGTCCACATTCTCACAGGCCACCCCACCCCACCCTACAATAAAGGGGAGCAGGCTCACATCGTGCCCATCACCCCCATTGCCACAAGACCTCAGGTGTTCAAACCAAAAAAGGCACCCAGTCCCTTTGGGATTATCTAGTTACTTCATACCACATCCATTTCACAGATGAGGAGGCTGGGGTCCAGAAAAGGAACAGGACCTACCCAAGGTCATTCTACCATTTTGCGGTAGAGCAGAGACTAAGAGACCCCACCCCCACTGCCCAAGGCCGGTGGCCTCTGGTTGTGATGTGAGATCTGCAGTTACCCTGGGCCCAGACCAGGCTTCCTTCTGTTCCTTCTATAAGCTAAGCAGGGAGCTGACATAAGGAAGACTTGGGCAGTCATAGATGAAGAGGGTGCATCTCCTTCATTAGAGGTGAAGTCTAGGAAGGCCCCTTTGGTGTTCTGGCCACGGAAAGACCATCCCTTCCCAGAGGCAGGGGACTGGACTAGGTGACCCTGTTGGCCTATGAGTCTCCCTTTTTGGCCTTATGATTCTCCCTTTCAGGTGCCAGGAGAGGTCGCTCACCCCATCTCAGAGGCAGCTGCCAGCTGGGGACAGCCTACCCAGCCCTCAATCCTCATCCGCCCATAGGGGCCGAGACCCACAGTGCACGTCCTCAGGGAAGAGGGAGGACAGACATCCCTCTGAACTCCTCAGGGGAAGGACCCCCACCTCTTGGGTCCATGAGGAGACAGACAGCCGGGAAACTCATGGCAGGGCCCCCACCCCCCAGAGACTCCGAGCCCCTGAGGTGACCACCAAAGGGACACCAGCAAGAGGACCACCTCCCCTGCCTCGTTCCTCCAGCCCAGTCAAGAACCTGAGCCTCAGGCAGCCACCTCGGGATGAGGTCGAGGGTGCTTCCCTCCAGCTCACGGAGTCAGCAACTGTTCATTCTCCATCCCCTGTTAAAGGACCCATCAAGATCCCCATCCAGCTGCCCCCTGCCCATCCCCCTACTCCAGGAAGAAGCGTTCCAGGTACTGCAAGTGGAACTCCCATGACAGAGCTGGAGAGAGGCCCCATCCCACTAAGGGCCATGGTTGGAGACAGACACCCAGCTGTGTCCAGACAAGGGGACTGCTTTGCGGAGAGAGGGGAGGGAGACCAGAAGCCGGACATCCAGGCTATAGCAAAGGCCAGAGAACCACGGGGAACGGCCCCTCTGGAGCAGGAGGGGAGGTACACACCTCTGCCCCTGGGCAGCACTAAGGAGCATGCCATCTACCATAGCCTTGAGGAGGAGATATTGGCCAACATGAAGCTGTTGGAGGCAGGGGGTGCCCGTCCCCCAGGCACAAGGTCTGGGGCCATCCCTCGCAGTGGAGTCTATGTCCCCAGCCTCGGTGGGCGCTGGCCAGAGCCTGGGGGTCCTTATGACAAAGTCATTCAAGAACTGGCTCAGGGCCCCCCACCCCTCCTTAAAGTAGATCTGGGAGCCTGGGGGGCAGCCCCTACAGGGTCCTGTAAGCCAGCTGTTACCCAAGACCCAGGAAGCCCAAAAGAGAAGCTAGGAGTCACAGAGGATGGGCCAAGGACTACAGCAGCCCTGAGTGCCAAGGGCACCAGGCTGAGGAAGGTGCCACCTCAAGGAGGGCAGGACTGCTCAGCCCCTACTGTATCTGCCAGCCCGGAGGTCCCCATATCTTTGTCCTTGGACCCCAATTCTGACAAAGCCAAGGCATTTCCAAACAAAGGCAAGAGAACACTCCGGAAGCCCCAGAGGGTCCCGTCCATCTACAAGCTGAAGCTGAGGCCCAGAATCCGGCCCCGGAGGGACCACAGGCCTGAGAAGCAGCCGTCACGCATCCCCAAGCCGCTAGCTTACCTCCACCTGGGTCCAGCAAGGGCACCCCCCAGGTGCAGGCTGTCGAGGGCAGCACTAGGCATCAAGGGAGAAGAGGCACCCCCAGTGGATGGGGCCTTTGAGGGGGAAAAGGAGGAGGAAGGAAAGGAGAAGAAAGAGTCAGCCACCACACTGGAGAGCGGCCTTCCACCTCCTGAGGACCTAAGGCCTCAGCAGCTTGACCAAACTCTGCGCCCACCTGAGGAGGAGTCCTGGGTCTAAGGAGGTGCTTTCTCATCCCTAAGCTGTGGGTGTGGAGACAGAGGGAAACAAAGGATGCCCACATATCCATCGATTCCCAGCTGCAGGAAAAGATGGGAAGGTCCCTCACCTTAATACAGCACCTTGGCCTGGAGGGGGTTGGAAGACAAATATAGACTCAATCTGTTCAGCTGAGCAAAGGAGAAAACCATCACCCTACGCCAACTCCAGTTAGGCTAGGGGTGGTGGGGCCACCCTATATCTTTTCTCACCCCCTCCCCCAAGACACCTCCCCAAACTCCTGTTTCCTGGTCTCTGGCCATGCTCACCCCAGTTTCCACAACTCCTATAAGTTACTAAAAACACGTGGGTCTCCTTGAGCCCCCAACTTCTTGAGTCCCCTCACTCCAAGATGTAGTGGTGCAGGAAGGTGTAGCTTCAGATGATACCACACTGGCGGGGAAGGGGACGATGGCGAGGGAGCTCGGGGTGGAGAGAAACTTCCTCTCTCATCACTCAGCCAACCTTGAGAGATAACTTACCTTTCCTGGAAGTGGCTGGTACATCAGGGACACGGACAAGGACAGCCCCAACACACAGTCCCGCAGGCCATTCCTGCCAAGGACTTCGAAGCTTTGCTCTAGGTTTGGGAACCACTCAGCATCAAGAGGGGTGGGTGAAAGCATTCCTTACACATCTATGTACATGAAGTTAGCATCAAGAGACTCAAAGGCTCAGCCGTGAGTGGGTGGAAAGGAGATGCCGTGGAAGCAGAAGCTGGGCGTGATCCAGTTGTGAAAGTATTCCAGAGAAAGTGATGGGGAAGAAGTTACGCCCCGCCCCACCATGGTTTTAATTAATGGGAGAAGTTAAGTCCTGAGCCCCAGATGCTTCACCATTGTTCTCCTAGTTGACCTGGGCTTTGGGACTCAGGGCCACCTCATCCCCCTGCCCTCCTTCCAGAGAAGAGCTCAGCAGGCAGGTCGCGGAGGGACTTCCTCCCCTTCCACCATCAGGAACAGAGCTGACACCTTGGTACAGAAACAAGGGATAACACTCCCTGATTTTTAATCTGACTTCCGATAACAGTGCGATGGGCATCACACACACTTCCAGACCCTGTGGTGGGAAACCCTGGGGAGGGGGGGAGGAGGAAGGACAGAGACTCAGAATGGGGGTGGAGAGATCCAAAATCAAAGACCTGGGGTGAAGCAGAAAGGGTGTCAGGGGTCCATCAGGCAATACATTCCAATGGCTCCCACAGGGGCAGCCAGAGGCCTGGGTCCCCCACCCCCCTCAGGTGCCTCAGAGCTGGGGGTGACGGAGCAGGTGAGATGCTGGCTGCCAACTCTCACTCCGTCCCCCTGGTGAACCAGAGGATGGGGATGGAGGGGACAAAAGTGGGCAGGCCCTCTTCTTTACCCTCCCTGCCACTCAGAGGTGTGGGAAAGGGGAGCCGTCTCATCTGTTTCAGAGGGAGGCTCAGAGAGGGCAGGTCATTTGCCCAGAGTCACGCAGCACAGCAGGGACTAGGACCCGGGAGCTCTAGGGCTGCATTACTCCCATGGTTGGGGGGAGTGGGGATCAGCTAGGAAAGCAGAAGAGAGAATCACTTCTCTCCCACGCTGGATCTGGATCTCAGAGGGGAATTTTTCCCACGCATGAGCCCCTCCCCAGACTCCTCTCCATCACCACTCTGGGATACCTGAATTCCTGGTCCATGTGCTGCAGCCTCAGCCAAGTGGAGGCTGAGCTGTTTATCTGCCCCTCTAACAAGGGACCGCTGTCCTCCCATCAGACCAGGGCTGAGGGTTCAGCCTTGAGGAGAATTTCCCTTGGCCAGGGAACAGGGGACATGGCACCACTTCTCCCTCCCTCCAAGTCCCCCAGCACTCCCTCAGGCCATTCCTAGTATCTTCGTCATTATTACTGTTATTTCTAAATCGGTACAAAACTGACAGTGATCAGCTCCAGTGACGAGAGGTAGAAACCCGGCCAGGCAGCCGGCGAAAATGGGGCGGAGTGAGTCAGGGCATAGGGCCAAGTGGTGTTGGGATAAGGGGATGTCAGATCCCAGACAGGAGGTTGAGGCCTAAGGGCCTCCATCCAAGGGTGGGGATGCGGGTGTATCTCCCCAAAGTACAGGGGTCCCCCGAATTCTTTTCCTGGTTCTGCTTCTCTGTAGACTACCAGGGTCATCCGAGAATTGAGGCAGGCAGAGTCTGGGGCAGTCAGATTGGGGTGGGGCGGGGAGTTAGAATCTTCACTGGTACAACCTGACCCTCCTGGGCACGACCCTGCCCACCACCAGCCCCCAACATCCCCCAATCTGGAAAACCACCCAAAGAAGAAGGGAATAGAGGGATGGAACCTGGCTTCAAGGGGAAAAAATCTATCCTTTGAGAGATTCTCTCTCCACACTGTCAAGAAATGAAAGTTTTAACCCAGGGGTGATCTGGCTTTGGGGACAGGGAGGGGGTGAGGGGCACCCGGCAGGGACGGACCATCTAGTTAAGGCTGGAAGGTAGGTTGTTGTGTCTCTGGGGGCTGCTGGGCGGGGAGGTCTCCCTGGAAGGGGGAGAGCTCAGCCTGCTCCCCCTGACTGAGCTGGGACCTCAACCCTCCGACCCCTTGATTGTGGTCCCAGGGCCACCCGCATCTCTGACCTGTACCGGTGGTGCTGACAGTCAGATGGCCTGGCCTCCCAAAGAAGCTGCCAGGATCTGCGGCAGGGGAATGGACGAAATGAGAGCCCTGTGAGCGGAGCTGGGGGCGGGGAGAGGGACGGAGGGTGGACAAGACAGCTAAGGACCGAGACATTTGGGCAGACAGACACCGGAAAGGAAGACATGGGGAAAGACAGACACACTCTCTGGAGAACACAAGTGGGGGCCCGGCCCAGGCAGCTCCTCCCTACCCTCACCCTCCATTTCACACGCTCCTCCCCATCCCAAAGGGCTGTGGCGCCCCTCGGAGCAGGGCCGGGTACAGCACTGACTGAAGCACTGAGGCGGCCATCCTAGGAAGACGAATGGGGGCGAGGGGAGGACTGGGCAGTTATGGGGAGGCTCCCTCTCACCCTATGCCTCTCGCCGGGAGGTGCGAGGCTGCGGGACGGTTCAGGCCGGTACCATCAGAGTTCTCACCTGTCCCCGCCCCGCTCAAGCCCCGCAGTCCCATTGGAGGCCGCCCCGCCCAGGCCTGTTCTGGGGCCGCCCCCAGCACGGCCTTGCCCTCCGCCGGGGCCAGCGCGAGCAGCAGCCGCGGGCGCCCAGCGCGCGGGTGGGGCGGGCGCGGCGTCACATGATGGCGCAGCGGTTGCGGCGCAGCGCGCCCTGGAAGCGCAAGGCGGCGTGCACGTGTTTGCAGCGGGCGCAGCCGACGCTCTTGAGCAGCTCACTGAAGAGCAGCAGGATATGCCAGTTGTACTTGGCCGAGCACTCCACGTAGCCGCACTTCCAGGTCTTGCGCACCAGGTGCGACACGTTCCAGCGCGGGATCACGCGTCCGCGCTGCAGGTCCCGCTTGTTGCCCACGATGATGATGGGCGTCTCTGAGGTGCCGATCACCCTGCGGGGTGGGGCGGGAATCTCAGAACTCCACCAGGCTCACAACCACCGCACCAAAGAAGGGCAGGATGCCCGGCCAATAATACTACCATACGCCCAGCGCTAAGCCCTTGAGGTACATTATATTCTCTAATTGGTCCAACTGAGTCAAAATGTGACCACTATTATTATCTCCATTTTACAGGTGAGAAAACTGAGGTTTAAATGTTAACTGGCCTAAAGTCACATAGCCGAGTGGCCCTTGCTCTTAACGACTGCACTAGACTAGTCTTACCACGGTCAGAGTCCCAAAATGAGTTAACAAAAATGGGGACAGTCAAACGTGAATGTATGTGTGTAGGAACCAAAGGGCACATATATTTCACCCATGTCTTCCTTCCACTGCTCCCTTTTCCTGGGTGCTGGCTAGCATTGGGGCATCCACGGAGGTGGCGATGGACTGTGCCCTGGCCCCTCACCTCGTCTCCAGGATCTGCTGGCGGATGGTCTTGACGTACTCAAAGCTGTCAAAGCAGCAGATGTCGTAGACCAGGATGTAGGCGTGGACGCTCCGGAGTCCCCTGCAGCAGGCGTCTGCCCACTCCTGCAACACCCCCACCCGGCCAGTGCCAGGGTCAGATCAGCCATGAGGGCTCCCCTCGCACCCAGCCACCTCCAGCCATAGACTGGTAGCACTCTCACCTGCTACTGCAATCCAAGCCTTCCACACACCCACCCACCCCCAGGAGGCCAGGCCCAGGGCAGAATGGAGGAGCTCAGCACTGCAGCTTCCTCACCCCCAAGCCGGGATAGGGCATGTCACACTGTCTGGCCTCCAGGGCCACTGCACTGTTCTGTGCACATCTATCTGGAGCTGAGACCTGATGTCCCGTTTTGTCCCTTCATCCATCCATCGTGTCTTTTGTTCAACAAGTACACCCTGGTGGCATAGTGGTTAAAAGCTACAGCTGCTAACCAAAAGGTCGGCAGTTCGAATCAACCAGGTGCTCCTTGGAAACCCTATGGGGCAGTTCTCCTCTGTCTTGTAGGATTACTACGGGTCGGAATCAACTCGAAGGCAACGGGTTTGGTGTTTTAAGAGCCCAGTCCTGAATTAGGTGTTGAGCCTGTTGAAATCTTGTCTTCCCAGGCTCAGCTCAAGTGCCACCTCCTCTAACGAGCCTTCCGAAGTTCTCGCCCTTCCCTTTGTCTTCTAAGAGCCCTTTGACTATAAGTTGATCAGACCTGCTTCCATCTCCAGCGACCCAGTTCTCCTGTGAGCTCCTGGGAGGGCCAGGGCCTTCCTCATTTTGGCATGCCCCCTCCTATCCCCTCACTGCTCCTTACTCAAATCTCTGGGTCCACACGCTGGCTGATGAGCTCTCCATGGTCCTGAACCCCACCTTGCCCGGGCTGGGATCAATGCAACTCCTACTTCTAACCCTTAGATGGCAACCTGAGGTTCTGTTTGACCTGCATGCTCCGCCTTGCCCTCCGGGTTGGGAAGGAGACACCTGAAGAGAAGATTGAGACTGGATGCAAAATGGGGGCAGATGTAGAGCAGAGGCCCAGGGTGGCTCCAGGGGATGGAATTTCCTGAATGCCTGTGGCAACTTCTCAGGGAGGGGCTGCAGCTCAAGATGAATTCAAACAAACAAACAAAAAAACCCAAAAACGAACAACCTGATGGATTCTGACTCATAGTGACCCTATAGGACAGAGCAGAACTGCCCCTTAGGGTTTCCAAGTCTGTAAGGTTTTCAGGGAGCAGACTGCCACATCTTTGTCCTGTGTAGCAGCTGGTGGGTTCGAACCGCCAACCTTCCAGTTAGCAGCCAAGAGCTTAACCACTGCACCACCACGGCTCGTTTCAAGATGACCAGGCCCCTGGAAAGGCTGACTGTGCTAAAGAGAAGCTTCCTTAAGAGATTAATTAGCTAATTAACCTGCCAGTAGATGCAATGGCAAGGGTTCTTTCAGGCAACAGTGTGGAAAAGAAAGGGGCCCCTGAAGTTGGGGCGGGAGTGGCCTTCAAGGGCAAAGGCTTTTCTCCCTTGAGGGCTCAAGCAAAAAAAACTAGGAGGTGGAGGCATGTCTCCTGTCCAGCTTATGAGTTGGGTTGGGGCAGGGATCAGGCATGAAGGAGGACTACAGCTGGTTCTCCACCTCAGAGAAGAAACAAAAGGTAAAAAAAACTTTGGTGGCAGTGCTGGGGAGTTAAGTCTGACTCCAGAAAAGCACTTCCCAACTCTGAGGCTTACAAGTTCTGCAGTGGATTTCCCCAGGGAGATGATGTGGCATCTTTTCTTTGTGCTGAGATTTTACTTTTTGGTGCAGGGGGAGGATGCTGGGGACAAATCTAAAACCGTAGGAAACCACTAACTGGCTTCTCAGGCAGGGAAGACTGCATTGTGCTGGACACAGTGACCCACCAAAGACTGGGACTGCTGTGTATGCGGGTCCTCCTTCACCCCACACAAGAAGCAGAAGTGGGAGTGATGGAGAACCAGCGCAGAGAGGCTCCCACCCTCTGCAAACTCGCTGCCGGGGAGCAGCTGCCAGCCTATGAGGGTGACAGCCCCACCTCTCCCCTCAACATGCTGCCTACTCGAGGGGGCCTCTAGGCTTCCTCCCACCCACTCCTCTCTGGGGGCTCTTACAAGGGAGAGGAGGAAGGCTTCTGATTGGCTGGGCTGACTCTTTATCCCTTAATTCAAGGGAGGGGACCAAGATAGCTCTGCTTTCGTTCTAGCTTGCTCTGGGCAGGGTTCCAAAGTGTAAAAGACCATCTTAGGGCTGTGTGGAGACAGAGAAGGAGCAATGAATGCAGTTCCAGGGATGCAGGGGAAGAGGGGCTGAGGGAGGCCCAGCCACCTGGGTCTCAACAATGCATTTCTCAGTGATGCCTTCAGTGGGCTGCATATGCCCCCTAATCTCAGCTTCCTTCTCTGACAGGAGAGAGGGGGCTGGACAAGAAACAAGTGAGGCCCAGACCCAGAAAACGCCACTCTCCTGGGCTGAATCTCATCTGGCATTGGGGAAGAGTATATTTTTATTTTATTTTCAGATGGTGGCCATCAGGATTCTTGGTGTTTATATTTGGTCTCTGGGGCTTCCAGAGTCCCTTCTCAGTATTTCTCTGCTCAGAGTCCCTTGCCTGTGGACAGGAGGGAAGGCTTGGACACTTGGAGAGTCTAAAACTCAGGGTCAACCAAGAAAGGCCAACAATTCAGTAGAAAAATGGGCAAAGGACATTAATAGTTCTCAGAAACAGACACACAAAGGCCCTTAAGCATACAAAAAGGTGCTCCAGTTCACTCATAACAAGAGATGCAAATACAAACTACACTGAGAATATCATATCTCATCTATCAGTATGTCAAAAATCCAAAAGTTTGACAACACACTGTTGGCGAGGCTTTAGGGAAACACGCTCTCTCGTACAACTCTTGCAAAAGCACAAAATGTGCATCTTCCATAGAGAAGGATCTAGGGACAACTTCCAAACTCCAGTTGCATTTATCCTTTGATCCCGTATTACCACTTGCAGGAATCTATCTCTCCGATATACCCACCTATGTACAACATGACTTACGTACAAAATATTCATTGTGGCATTGTTTGAAATAGCAAAACACTGGAAACAACCTACTTGTCTAACAAGAGGGGTCTTTATGGGACATCTAGCTTCTCAATAGACTGTAGCTGTGAAAAACAAATGGGGACGATCTCTAGACACTGACGTGAAAAGAGTTCCAAGTTATAATGTTAAGTCAAAAAAGCAAGATGCAGAACAGTAGTATGTATATATATATATATTTTAATGTAAGAAGGGGGACAGTAAGAATACATTTTCTTATTTGCAGGGAGAAACACTGGAAGTATAAATAAGAGCCCAATGAAGATGGCTATAGAGAGTGGGGTGGGAATTGGGGTGAGGCGGGCAGGGGCAGGACTGTGATTTCTCTGGGTGTACCTTTTTACATCGTTTGGACTTTTATATTGTGTCTTACCTATTCCGAAATTAAAATTACATTATATTTTAAAGTATACGACTGAATGTAAAAAAGTAAAGCTCAGTGTGGAGGCCTGGAGCAAGGACTGAGGGTCCACTCAGGCTACCGCTGAAGTCTCCTTCAGAGGAGACCAGAAGACCCGGGTCCCAACCTGCTGCCCTGCCTGGCTCATTCTCACTGCTCTGGGCCCAGACGCATGGGTCAGGCTTTCATCTTCGGTGCCGACCCACGGCACTGGGTTGGGAGAGCCGAGGGTCTCTGGCAGGTTGGGCCAAGGCCCTCCTGCTCGGTGTTACTGAGGCAGTGCTGAGCGCTGAGCTCCTCCCCAGCCCCCAGTCCCAGCCCAAGAAATTGCTGCATTTGCTCAGTTACAACTGGCCAAGCCTTGCCACTGCCCTCTGGGTCTCCAGTCCCCTGACATTCTGCACACTCTGGTCAGAGGCCTCCTTCAGTGAGCAAACATGTCTTAGAGCTCAGCTGCCCCCTGCACCCCTGCCCCACTCTGGAGGTCGTGCAGGTGGCCGTTCATGACGACAGCAGCCAGAGGTGGAGACAGGAAAGGGGATCTGGCCCCAGCAGGCACACTTGAGTCTTATCCCTGCAGGAAGCTGCCTAAATCCTACGCAGCTATCACCTTCTTCAAGAAGTCTTCTGTAACACTCCACCCCAGTATGGCTGGGTGGGTTACATGCCCCCTTGGGGGCTGCCTTAGCTCACTGCGTCTCCTCCAACAACGGCACTTATCACACTACGTAACCGCTTGTTTGTCTTTTCTCACCAGTCTGTGAGTTCCTTGAGAGCAAATTTCACATCTGTCTTGCTCACCATCCTACACCCTCTCCCCCAGTGCCCACCACAGGGCCTGGCACACGTTAAATGTTTATCAAATATTTGTTGAATAAACCAGCGAATGAATTACTGGATTCCTGGCAGGGCTCTAAGCAGGGGGGCCCAGGGTACAGCATGGAGCTGTCAAAGCCAGCAGGGGGCCCTGGCAATAGGACCAGAGCCCAGAGAGGGTCAGAGTCCAGCCCCTCTCCCCATGCCCCCGGGGCCCTCCTACCTGCAGCGTGTTGACAGGGAAGGCGCTGATGGGTGGGAAGTCGAGGATCTGGAGGTCGTGCACGTGGCCGTTCATGACGACAGCAGGCAGGTAGAGGCGGCGGGCGGTGGTGGGCACGCAGACCTCGCTGAACTCGTTGTACAGGAACTGGCGCACGATGGCACTCTTGCCCACGCCTCGCGCCCCCAGCACGGCCACCCGGTAGGTGGAGACCATGCCTCCCGCCCCACTCCGCCGCCGCGTCCTCGCCGCTGCCTGGGGCCCCCCCGGGCTGCATATTCCAGGGGCTGGGGGCTCAGCCACCGTCAGGACCAACCATTGCTGCTCCTGCTTGCCCTGGGCCCTCTGTGGCCTCCACCTGGACTGTGGGACAAGAGGTGGGCTTAGTGGGCTGGCTTATCACTGGACATGTCCTGCACTTTTCCACCTCTGGGACTTGCTGAAGCTGTTGCTGTACTTGGAATGCCCTTTTCCAGAACCCCTCTCTCCACCTATCCAAAACCTCTTCACCCTTCTTTCTCCATTTTTTCCTACCATCCTGCCAGTGGGGATCAATATCTCTTAACTTGTATTATGGCCTGACTTTTGACCACGTCTGACTCCTCAACCAAGGCAGGCTGGAGGGCAGAGTGGAAGGAGGGATGGACTTGGGTTTGAAGCCCAGTTTCCCCATACAATTCCATAGTCTGGGACAAGACATCAAACTCTTTCCCGTCTGTTTTCCTCATCCTGAAGAGGTGAGACTAGACAACCGTGTCTCAGTGGAGACACTTCTGGCATTTTGTGGGGAGACAATTCTTTATGTGGGACTGTCCACACATTACAGGACATTTTACAGGAAATAATTGCTAGCAGCAACCTCCAGTCACTGTGATGACCAAAAATGACCCCCTACACTTCCAAATGCCCCAGCTGAGAACCACTGAACTAGATGACCGCTTTGGCTCTGGAGCACATTTGCTCAGCACTTAACTCTGTGTTAACATGCCCACATTATCCATAGTCAACACGATATTGTTATTGTATTGTATTGTTAGTCCCTTTCAGAGGAGGCTCAGGGGGAGTAAGAAATGTACCCAAAGTCACACAGCTGGGGATGGCAGCTACTCCTTTCTACAGTGTGACAGTACTTTCAACTTTAAAAAAGTTTACTGATTTTAGCTGGTGAATGCCGACAGGCCAAGCGCTGTGTCTGATTCTCTGGCTTCCCCTGGAGCCTGCACAGGACCTGGCACACAGCAGGTGCCCAGGAAACAACTGCTGGGGGAGGGAGGTGAACCTTGATATGGACTCATTAGCTCCTTGCTTGCTCAATTTCAATGACTTTAGAGCTTGAGTGTAAATCTCAGCTCAGATGTTTCCTAGCTGTGGGTCAGCGGGCAAATCACCAAACCAATCTGAGCCTTGCTCAGCACACGTGTCAAATGGGGTCAATAGCCAGGTACCTTCTTTTGTGGGATGGTGACGAGGGAGCCTGGTATATGCCTGGGAACTCCTGTCTAGGACTATTTCTAGGAGAGTGACACTGGTACCTACTAAATGGGTCCAGGCAGGTGCGTTGCTGGATTACCACAGGGTCATGCTTTCTAGCATGTGGACATGTTTTCTCTGTGTATGCATGTTCTTTCATATGTACAATTCACAGCTGAATGTCCCCTAGTCTGTCCTGGCCCAGAGGACCCAATCCACTGGGTACACTTATATATAGCATAATAATAATATAAAAAGGGCAGAGTCTGGAGTGAGACTCACCAGGATCTGCCACTCACCCATAGTGTGACCCTAGGTAAGGAACTTCACAGGGTGTTGTGAGCTTGGGCAGGTTAAAGCCCGCTGTCTGGCACAGAGTAGGTGTTCACAATAAACAGTGGGTATTGTCACATCCAGGGAGCCCTGGTGGCGCAGTGGGTAAGCACTCAGCTGCTAACCGAAAGATCAACGGTTCGAATCCACCAGCCACTCCGTGGGAGAAAGGTGTGGCAATCTGCTTCCGTAAAGATCACAGCCTTGGAAACCCTGTGGGGCAGTTCTACTCTGTCCCATAGGGTCGCTATGAGTCGGAATCGACTCGTCGGCAAAACGGGTATTGTTACGTCCACGGTTCTTCATTCACCTGAGGTTTTCCACTATCTGAATGGGCCTCCTAGCAGTCACGGGAGAAGTCACCACCTCTTGCTGCACGAGCTCACATACAGGCTGTGTGTGTGTGTGCATGTGCGTGTGATTCTCCTCCCCACTTCACTGAAGGTAAAAACCAGAGGAGGGAAGTGAAGAACACATAGCTAGTTGTCAACCAAGACTAGGATCCTGATCTATTCCTGCCCCATGCTGTGTCCTTTCCCCAACAGGTGCTTACACTTGTATGGGTTTGCAGCTGGGAGAAGTACCAGTCCCTCCACCCCATGTATCTCTCCAGGCCCTTGGGCTCCTCAGGCATCCCTGGCCACTGTTCACTTAGCAGAGAGCCTCCGCTGGGTTAATTACATAACCGGCACAAGCAGGTGGGGAGGAGGAGTCCTAGGGGAGATGAGAGGGCAAGGAACCATGGAAGAGCCTTAGCCTCTCTCTGGGTGTGGCAACTTAAAGCTTTCTAGGACATCCCCCACCTGCAGATTCTCCTGGACATCACACTCCCTGCCCAGAACTAGCCCCTTCTGGGGAGCCACAGGGATATGAAGCAGGGCACAGCACTGGAGGAAGGGATGGGGTGCAGAGGCCCCTAGGCTGGGGCCAGCCTCCTGGCACTCACCAGGCCTAAGCTGGCCCTGTCCTCGCCTCATAGGTGACTGTTGCCCTCTCTTTCTTCCGAGGCAGGGGTCCTGGAGTCTAAGCGTTTATTAATAATCCACTCCCCTTTGCGTGGTGTGGGGAAAAGGGGGGGTGTCCAGAGAAGCAGGGCCCAGCCCCCTGAGCGCTTCTTCCCCAAGGCCTGCACGCTGCAGTGAGCCTGCAGACAGCGCCGGGCAAGAGACCGGGGACACACAAGGGGCCAAAGCCTGGCTCCTGTCCCCTTCCCTTGGCCTGGACACCTGGGTCCTTGCCCCAGACTGAAGGCGGGAGCTCTGCGGGGCCCGGGGGTCAGGTCACCTATCCGCCCGCTGTTTGTCCCCACCACGTTCGAGTGGGGGTGGGTGGGTGGGGGCGTCGGAAGATGCTGGGCTCCTCATGACCTGATTGGTTGGAGTTTGGGGGGATGCAAGAGCGCAGCCCGCTCTCCGCCTCCAGCACCTTGCAGGCACCCCCCAGCCCCCGCTCCAGCTCTCACGTGGCCGCCCCGCGCCGCTGCCAGCCAACCGGCCCCCTCCTCGCCGGACCGCCCCCTCGCCCCAGCCGCCCCCCT